GTGCCTCCAACTGGAGGAAACATTGCCAAGACAACGGCTGAACACAGTGCTGGGGTTTGTGCCTGGATGTTGAGTTGGTTTGGAAATGGTGCAGGCATTTGCTGTTTAGAGGTGGCACCTTGGCACGTTCAGAGACCCTTTCTATCCCTACTCCTGTGCTAGTCATGGCAGGGAACAGGCAGAAGAGATGTGGATGGGAAGACTGGCTGAAATAGAGAGCTGCAAGCTCATTTCTCCCTGTCCATGTGGAAGAAGTCTATTGTGAATTGTACTGGTTGTATCTGAAAACTTCCAGCTTTTGCTGCTGCCTTCTCTGAGGTGGGAGAACCTGTGCAAGTCCTGTAACCCCAGACATCATTTTGCTGCCCTTTAGTTTTGTCTGTAGTACTCAAGTTTGTATGATACATGGCATTGCCTCCTGGAAGAGCTTTCAGTGCTTCAACTGTGGAGCACTTTGATTTCCTTCCACATCAGGCAGGGCAAGAATGCAAAGCCTTGATTTTACAGCAAACAGCACTGAGCATTATGTGAGGGGTCAGGTCATTTTACACCTACCCAAAAGCCAGATGAGGAAAAAGACCTACAGTCCCTGCTGATAGCACGAAAGCTTTTTGCGCTTGTCAGCAGGAGCAAGGTGGCAGGTAGTATTTCTCCAATGCAGTGTGGGCTGCTGAGGAAAATGCTTTTGAGGTCTCCAAGACGAGATTTTGTACAGGAGAACGTGCAGAAGGCAAAAATCAATGTGAGGGGTTGTTTTCAAGCACGTGAACTTCCCACCTCGGAGCAGGGTGGTCTCCCAGAGCATGCATAATGGCAGAGATCCCTGCTGCTTCCTTTGGGCAGCGTGGACGTGCAGCTGCTTGCACAGCTCTCCTCTGCAGCGTCTTCTTCCCTCCAGAGGTGTTTTGTGGCTTTCACAGGCTGGTGGGGAAAGTCCTCATTTCCACCAAGGAACACCAGGCAGTTGTGGCTCAGCAGGGACCGGGGGAGAGAGTGGGCAAGGGAGAGGTGCAGTGAGCAGCTCCTGTGCAAAGCCACAGAACCATAATGCCCCTTTCCCTTTGTGCATGCAGTCGCTCCTGTATCTTGCTGCAGGCACCACACTGTTCTCAGGCAGTCCTACCAGCATGGAGCAGGCAGGGCAGCTCACAGGACCTCGGGATCCTTTGCAAACGCACACATGGCACCATGTGTTGGCATGTTGAGCCACGCTTGGTCGTGGACATCCAGCCACAGGCAGGGGCTTGGAAATGCTACCGACATCTGCACTTATACTGTGTTGGGGTCCCGCTCCTTAGCGCCAGTTGCTGCTGGAGTTGAGAAACAGCCCTTCCCGCTGCCTAATTTTAGCTCTCCACCTTGAGGCCCTGCATTGCTGGTTTCCATGGTGATCCCTCGCCGGCAGCACCAGCTTCCTCGCCTGCGGGTGCTTGGAAATGTCTGTTTTGCCTCCTTGCTGCTTGGGAAGCAACAGCTGAGGCAGAAGCAGTGCATGTGGCTTGCAGCACTGTCAGTTCAGAGCTGCTTGGCACTTGCATGCAGGATCCCTTCCTCCATGGGGTTATGCCTCCCAGCAGGCAGGCTGGGCTGTGCATACCTGACACTGGTGCTGCCTCAGCTGTGGCAAACAGCTTTCCCCATGCTCTTTGCTTGAGAAGGTGCCTAGGGCGGTTGTGCCCCTGTGGAGGCTGCGGGGTGAAGAGTCAGGAGTGCCGCTGTGCCGTGGGAGGCGGTGCCATGTCCAGGCCCTCCTGCTCTGGCTTCGGGCTCGCTGCTTTTGCGCCTTCCCGCTTGCTCTCTGGGCAGAAGAGGAGTAATTAAACGGAGGGAGCCTGGGCAGCTCGCCCGAGGCAGAAGAGAGGAACTGCCTCGTCGTGTCTGTGCAGCAACTCGTAACGACTCTCTGCCCTTTCCCTTCCGCCTTCCCGAGCGCGCTGTGCACAGGGACAAGTGACACTTCCCAAGTCGAGAGAGACAGGAAAGGCAATAGCAGCTCACAGGGAAGATGCAGTGTAAAACCCATGATTCCAGCCCACCAGTCCTGGAACTTATTGAAGAGCAATGACATCGAAGCACTGTGGAGTCTTTTTTGTGTGTGATCTTGCATTTAAACCTTTGTAGTTCATATGTTCAAGCTTTTACACGGTAGGTGCAAGGACAAGCTATTTAATATTGAAGTGGCAGCTGCCAGCCCTGCTTGCTCAGGTGACTCCAGCAGATGGAGCTTTATAAAGAGCAAATGTGACAAGGTCCAAGCTAAGATCAGAACGTCTGTCACAAGAAACTCGTTTGGCTAGTAGCTGGAGAATCGGGAGTGAAGATAAAGCTTCATCCACAGACCCCCACTGTGCTCATCCATTCATCCACCCCTGTCTCTGTTACACTCCGACTTACACAGTTACAGGAGACTTGGCCATTCACTGGGCAGGCAGCTGGGAGCTGCTAGAGAGAGCTCCCCAACCTGCGATATGCCAGGAGTGGGGCACATGGGTGTAAGGAACTATGGTTTGTAGGTTGTAGATGGAGGAAGTGCAGCACCCAGCCTGGTAGCTCCTGCCACCGTTGCTGCTGCTGGGAGGGAGGATGAGCAAGCTGGGTCTGAGCAACCTGTGCCAAAGCGAGAGGGCAGGCAGGCAGAGCGACTTGATTCCTTCCTTTCTCTGGCAAAGCTCTGGGGTGTGAAGATGTGGCAGCCAGCTCCAACCCACTGCCAGCCTAGGACAGCTTAAAGCAGCAAGAAGGATCAAACAGCAAACCATATGGCTTTGATTAACAAGAATACTCAGAGTAACATGGCCTTGTAGCCAGGCAGGAGGCAGGTCCTCTTCAGAGGCTGTGCTGGTGGTGGACCTTGCCCAGGTCCCAGTGGCAGAGCTGCAGGATGGTTCCTGGGCTCCGTCACTACCAGAGAGGGAGCTGCGGATGCAGGATGGCTGCATCTTGAGCCTGGTTTCCAGCACGTTGGCGTGGGGAGAGGAGTCTTGCAACTTGAGCTAGGTCCCTGCGGAGCCTGCTGAGGCTGGCCCGGTTGTAGCAGTGCCTTGAAGTCTCTGCCCGGGAGGCTGGAGCCAGGTTTGGCATCGATGGGCAAGGCTGAGAGCTTGCTGCCGGCAGTCCTGCCTGGCCATGGGTAAGGAGAGGCAGAGTACTGCCATCTATTGCCAGGCACCTGGATTACAGACCTTGCTGGGTGGCAGTTCAAAGCTGTGACTAGGTCTTTTCTGGTCTTCGGCTCAGCGAAATGTTGCTTGAAACCCTTTAAATGGACCAGCACTTAGGTGCTACAGTGCATTTCAGGTGCCCTGCTCAGGCTCCAGCCTGGGAGAACTTGTTTTTTCTTCCTGGCTTTTGTTATTTCTCCTTTCCTGCCCTGAGGTGTGTGAGGTTGCTTTGTGTGGTGAAGTGCTCCTGTTGCTCCATCCCACCCCAGAAGCCACTTACAACATTTACCCCAGCTTGCCTCCAGAAGGCAACTAAAGAGAGGTCGATGCAGCAGAAGGCCTAAAGAGTCTTCCATAGCTCAGAAACGATACGTGAAAGGACGATGAAGGGGCACAAAGAGGGTAACGCAGGATAAGCAGCAAGATAGGAACATTTGCAGAGATTTGGAAGGGTGTTTGTCACTGTGCGGTGCCTTGAAAAGACCTTGGACTTGATGACTGTGCAGACAAAATACTCTGAAGACCAGGACAAGGTCACACAGCAGATGATCTGTCTGTCACTGTGGGCTGTTCAACAGAGACAACAACTTGCTGTGAAATTGTGGTTTAAAAGCAAAGCAAACAACAAAAAAAAGAAAATGAGGGTAAAGAAGCAGTAGGAGAAAAAATGTGCTCAGTATTTGTTGTTGTGTGTATCAGTAATGCTTGCTCCTCAGGCAAATTCTGAGTATATCCAAAGTATATCATGAAGGTACAAAGATACCACAAATGAGCAGAGGTTAAGAATAATACTCAGATGAGAAGGTGAAAAAACCTGTGTGTATTAGAGAGAAGAGTCACAGCAAATGGGATTGACCGATCTCACTGATTCTTTTACTTTCCTCAGTCCTCTGGTCCTCTGTCTCTGATACAAAACTGTTGAGCAACCCAGGTGGCCTGAACCAGAAACTTAATGGGCAGGTGGAAAACGTTAGATGAAATGAGAGTCACAAAGGAAATTAATGACAAAGATGAGAATTAACCAGGGTCTGCGAAGTATAAAGCCCTGGAACCATCTTCTCTGTTAAAAGTCTAACAAAAGAAAGACATTAAACCGACCGAAGTAAATGGTGGTTTTATTGACAATGCGATTAGCCTGTGGCATCTTCCCTGCTGGGTGGCACTAGTTTGGGAATGCAGAAAAAGGGGTCAACACTTAGATGAACAAAAATACTTGTGATGACTTTGGCTGGGAGAAAACTGTAAAGCATATAAATTGTGCTGCAGGGCATAAGTCAACTGCTGGCTGTCAGGGACAAGGAGGGCATTTTCTCTGTGAGAAGGTAACTGTATAATCATCTATGACAGTGTTTCTTCCTTTGAAGTGTTTAATCTTGACCAGTGGAGGCAAGATAATGGCTCATATATTGTCGGGTTTTTTTGTGGTGGGGGCATCATCTGGTGCCTGATGGCAATTTCTTCTGCCTGTTTGGTATCACACCTTTCTTCAGGGTTATATTCACCATCTTCTTAAATGTCTCAAGCAAAGGCATTTCTGCTCCATACTCTTCAGGAAAACAGTTTGAAGACAGCAGTCCTTGAAATACGCAAATTATTCTTGCCATTTGTGCTAGACTTTCTCTTACTTATATTTGCTCCTGTTATCCTGAGTGATTTTCTGGGAATGACCTCAAGGAAGCCCTCTATTGCCCTCTTCTTGTGTCTGTTCCTGGTTATTGTCTGAGCTTTCCACCTATGTCATGTCTCTCTCCTTCTGTAATCTTGTTAAATGTTTTACTTGTTTTAAGCTGTGTTGCTGCTCTTCTCTTCTGGGTAAGTTAATGTACTTTGTGTCTTTTACTTTGTATATTGCAGGAAGAGCCAAGGAGCAAATCCAAGATCTGTGCCAATGTCTTCTGCGGGGCTGGGCGGGAGTGTGCAGTGACTGAGAAGGGAGAGCCAACCTGCCTCTGCATTGAGGTATGGGGACAGCACAGGGTCTGCGTCTGAGACATGTCATCACCATCACCCCCTGCCTGGGTTTTGACTTCTGGAAGGATCCCATGATGGGATGAGGCTGTTTTGGAGCAGCTGCAAATTCACAGTGGCTCTTCAAACAGCATGGCCTTTCCCAGTGTGGTGTGGAGGAAGAGCCCTCTAGGGTAGATGATGTCTGGGGCTTGCAGCTTGCACAACTGCCCAGGGTCTTTATACACACAGGAGGCTTGGCTGGAGGTCTTTTGGGAAAGCTCAGTAGGGTATTGATATGCAGCTGGCTTTGGAGAGCGCTCTAGGGAGTAGTCTGCGAGCTCCAAGACAGCCCCCTCTCACTGGCATTCTGTTGGAGGAGCTTACAAGCACCCTACTAAAAGACAGCTTTTGTAAAATGGAAATATTTGTGGTAGAATGCTGTGAAGATGAATAGCTTCATCCAGCAGGGAGCCACAGACCATGAGAAGAGAGTCTTTCCCAGCTGTAAAGACACAGCATCTCCCTACTCCACTCTGCCCCAAGCTTTCAAACCTCCTGCCTGGCTCCTGGGAATTGACATGTGTCTCTCTGTTTCTGTTCCCACTTCCCTCTGAGCCTGCAGCTCTGACATGGCCAGCCTGGGCACTGGAGAGTGAAATGCCACATTAGCAGGAAGAGAGTCTGTTACTCTGGGTAGGTTTGGCCAGACTGAAAAGCACAGGAGGGAGAAGCTCACAGGTTGAACAGTGGCACTGGTGAACTCTCCCACTGCTGTAGGCTCTGCTCTTTGCTCGTGGCTGATGGTGTATTCTGCATTTGGTTGCAGAAAGGTGGAGCAGAGCCTACAAAGAGATGCTGAGCTGAGCAAGCAGAGGTGCACTGAGCAGGCTCACTGAGGCACCTCCAAGTAGGTCCGTGGCACACAGAGCAGCAGCTGCAGGATTATACTCAGTATTTATGCTGGGCACTGATTTCTTCTCTGGGCTCTGCTTTAAGGAAGGCTCCTGTCATGGTGGTGATGACCATGAAGGCTGGGATGAAGCAAAGCCTTAGAACTCACTCAACAGACTGCCCTGTGTGGGTTTTTCTAGGGTGATGATGGGTGAGTTCAGCCTGTTCCAAACACCAAGGGGGCTGTGCCAAGGGCTTCTGTTGAGTTGAGCTGATGCTGGGACTCACCTGCCTCCTCTGGCTCTCCTGGAAAGGCAGGTAAAATGTTGTCTTCTCTGGCTCTCTTGCAGAAATGCAAACCTCACAAGAGGCCTGTGTGTGGTAGCAATGGCAAGACCTACCTGAACCACTGTGAGCTGCACCGTGATGCTTGCCTCACTGGCTCCAAAATCCAGGTGGACTACGATGGCCACTGTAAAGGTAACCCTGGCGCTGAGGGACAACTACACTCTAAGGGAGGGACAGTCAGAAGCCAAGCATGATGACAAAACAGGGCAGAGGCCTCACCAGCCAGGACCTTGTCCCATAGTTGCTGAATGGAGTAAACAGGGCAAGCCTGGGAACGGTAGCCAGGTTCAAACAGAAGTCTGGATCACCAGCCAAGTTTGTGGTGAAGAAGTAGGCCTGAAGTCAAGCCATGAAATCAGGTCTGGTGATAGATAGTAACCAGAGTCAGGCACAGGCCAGTGATTGCCAGGTAAGTCCATAGTGATGCAGTCTATAGCAGGTCTGAGATCAAGGTGGGAAGACAGTCACCAGGTCAGAGCTTAGATCAACAGGGTCTATGGAAGGTACAGGAATGCTTGCAACAGAGCTGGCACCCAGGTGGGAAGAGGTTTGTATTGTTTCATGTTGCATCAGAAATGTCCTCTTCTGTCTTTTCATTGACAGAGAAGAAGTCTGAGAATCCAGCTGCGAGTCCAGGTAAGAAGCCATCTCCTTTCTGGTGAGGGCCTTTGTTTGCATGTAGGAAAAGAGACAGGGAGGAACATCTGCACAGCTCTGTAAAAGTCTTACCTCTGCACTAGCTGTAGCAGAGTCCAAGTTGATAGATCAGCTGAAATAGAATAGCTCAGCTCTTTACTCCTGGATAACTTTTCAGAGTTTATACATCTCCTGGGCTCTTCACTGTGCTGGAATGGCTCGGGGACTCATCATGGACAAGGTGGAATGAATCCCAGTTTGCCTTTGGGGACACAAGCTGTGCTTATCACCTAGCCTGAGGGCTCTTTCACCTACTTCACTGGGGATCTGAGACACAGCAGCTGTGGAGCTCTTGTCTTCAACTCTAAGAGCACTTTTTTAAAAGGAGACTTTGCTTTAGGAATGATTAACTGATGGGTGCAAAGGCAAAGAGGCAGCAGTACATAACGAATGGGACATTGTCAGGGGAGTCAGGAGGTACAGCTGAACAAGGTGATCTTAAATGTCTTTTCCAACCTAAGTGATTCTGTGATAAGTCTCCTTGATTCCCTGTGCCTGGTTTCTCCCCTTATACATCGCCATGTTTACTTAGACTGTGGATTTTGGGGCTGTGGCCTGGCCATCAGAGAGGGCCCTTTTCCCATCTGTGGCCATCTAAGTGCTGGAGCTTTATAATCATCAACTTCCTAGGAAAGATGAGAGCAAACCCTCGTACAAGCTTAAAGGAAAGGATCATGTCAGAGCATGGCCACCTCTTTAAAGGCGTTTGGAGGAAGTTCAAAACAAAACATGGAGAATACCTGCTTTTTTATTTTATATTATATTTCTCTGTCTGGTTTTCAACTGATTATGGTCACTGGATTCAGAAGGAGATCTTTAGTGTGACATGAATGCATACTGATTGCCCTTCTGGCTCCACTGACAGCTCACTGAAGCCAGATCTAGGCTTTCAGTTTTGCTTTAAATGCATGGTTTGGTATTAGCACACAAAGTGATACCCACCTAAAGAAACCTGTGACTGAAGAGCGCTGTGAACAAGCCAGACTTGACACCCTCTCATTTCCAGTCAGAGTAAACAACTCTGAGCTTTGAAGAGATGAAATCTCCTGAGATTGTACAGTTCAAGCTTGCACAATCTAGTCTTTGCCGTTGCAGAGGACAGAGGGTTTGGAGTTTGAGGGTTGACGGCTGAATGCCTGTTCTGCACAGCGTCGGGAAGCCTGGGGACTCCACACCAAGATGGGTCAGCTCTGGGTTGTTCTTCGCAAGCTTCAGGGTCGGGAAGGCAAAAGAGCCTTGGCAGGAGTGTTGTTTTCTGGCCTTGCCACATGATGTCACCCACAGCCTGTCTGCCGCTCAGCACTTGGCACTTGTGCTTTCATCCGGCAGTGGCGCACCTCGCAGGCGGACAGGGGGCCCGCAGACTGCCATCAGGGCTGGCTGGCTTTTGTTTTCTAGTCTGGTCTCCTTGCCAGCTTCACTCCTCTGATCTTTGCTTTTTCTTCTGCTACACCTTCTCCCATTACAGTTGTCTGCTACCAGTCGGACAGGGATGAGCTCCGCCGCCGTGTCATCCAGTGGCTGGAAGCTGAGATTATCCCTGATGGCTGGTTTTCCAAGGGCAGCAACTATAGCGAAGTCCTGGATAAGTATTTCAAGGCAAGTAGAGCAGCGCCTGCCACGGTGGCCAGAGAACATTTCTTGCCCTGTCACTGCAAAACAGCTGCCATTCCCCCCACCCAAAAGGCTTCAGTGTGTGATGTACCTTTTGAGCTGGGGGCCAGAGAGGTCCTGTATGTCCTACAGCATGATGCTGCCTGCAGCAGCTGCTGACAGAGCCACTGTCACAGCTACGTGACAGCCGAGACCTGGAGCATCCCTGGCTCCTGGTGTCTGACCTGCCTGGGGGAAAAGGAGGAGGGTAGGCCAGGTGTGCTGTGGCAGGGGAGACAAAAACTGACCTCAGGGGACAAAGATATCCAGAGGAAAAAAAGCTGAGTGAAAGTGTTGGAAATGCTTGCAGGAGGAGCAGGAAGCTGGGGGAAGGGGCTGCCAGTCCTTTGTTCCAGACAGTTCAAGGCCATGTTGAGGTGGGGATAGGGAATGCTGGGATGCTTCAAGAGGAATATTTGCTTGCAAGGAGTATGGCCCAGTTGTGGCTAAGAGCTGGCAGCTCCCTAGTGCTCTGCAGAGACAGAGGAGCTGCCTGTAAGTCTCGGGCCCTGCAATAATCCCATTCCTCTTCCCTCCTTCCATCCCCACCCCTTTTGTGATCAGCAGATCACACGCTTCTCCCATGCTCCTGCTACATGCACCACTTCGTCCCTCCCCGTCACGCCTGGCTCCTAATAAAGGCTTCAGAGCATTCAGGATGGAGCTGGAGGAGCAGGTGGGGAAAGGGGTAGAGTGTTTAAATCATAAGCTGTTGACTGCAAGAGATTAATGATGCCTGACAGGAGTTTGCACTGCAAGCAAATTTGCCATGGCAATGGCACCCCCTGGTGAGACAGAGGAGCTGGTCCCTGTGCCCCATCTTTGCCTTTATAGCCATTAATGCTGCTCTGTCTGTGGAATCCTGCTTGTGGCTCACTGCCTCAGGCACCCCCGCCGGAGTCTGCAGCCACAGGTTTGTCTCACCAGTGCAGGTCTGCTGTGCCCAGCTGTGGGGCTCTGTGTGCCCACCCTGCAAATGGCCTGACTCCTGCCCTGCAGGTAATAAACAGTGGAGACACAAAGATGGCATGACGCTTTTCCCTCTTCTCCTTGATGGGGCGGTTTGTAAATGTGGCATTAAGCTGTTTCCCTCCTGGAAGCCTGTGTGGATCAGTGGGATGCGGGTTGTCCAGCAGGCAGGTCATGACCTTGAAGGAGTGAGGCCAATAGCGGGAAGTTGTTCTGTTTTGGAGGGTCTCAGCAGTGGAGGAGACATGTAAGTGCAGACCATAGCACCGAAAGGCAAGAAAACTGAGTCTGGGTCATTAAGAGAACCACAGCCACTTTCACAAGGAATAGTGGCTTCAACTACTTCCAATAGTAGTTGACGTGTTAGTGGAGCAGTTACACAGGCTTCAGTGCACAGAGTAATTTTCCTAGCCCTACAGGTTGCTCCTGAACCACATAGAGGTAACAACAGGCAGTGTCTCTCCCAGCATTCCTGGAAGCTCTGCATGAGGAGCCAAGGCAGACAGCAGAAATTAGCCAGCAGCAGTCTGTGCAGAATTCATTTTCCCCTCACTGCAATGCAGCTGTTTCTATGTGGGTCCAGAAGTTCCTGCTGGGTGCCTGGCACTGCGATGTGACATCTCCAAACAGAAGGCAAAATGCAATTACTTCTTTGGGAGTACAGCCAGGATTTCAGGGTTAAAAATCCTGCTTTTCAGTGCCAGGAGTCCTGTCAGGACCTGAAGAAGTTGGTGGCAAGGTGTTGTGCTGGTGCATTAAATTGTTCCTTCTTTAGGATCAGCAAAAAATTGCTTCCTGTGATTTTCCCTTTTGTCACTGTCAGAGCCCAGGCACGGCTTTGGATTTATACGTATTGGGAAGCTGACACCTCCTTGAATGCAACTGGTCTGCTTTAAGGCAGGAGGTATGTAAGCAGGCTAAATGCTGGCTGGAACAAAGAGAAGAAATGGAGTTAGAGCCATAAATCAAGCAGCAGGAGGTGAATGAGAGGCAGTGTAGCTTATCGGTGAGAACAAGACTCAGATCATGTCTCCCAGTTCTGGCGCTAGGATGGATATGTTGCTGCTTTTCTTTGAGCCTCTGTTCTTTGTGCAAAACAGGGATGATTTGACTAATTTCACTAAAGCTTCAAAAATCCTAAGAGGGAGAAGGAAGGGGTACCCTGACCTGATAATTCAGA